GACTTTGTGACCTTCTGAAACTTTGAGATGTGCCTTAGAGTTGCGTACAGTCTGGATCAGTCCGAATCTTGTATGACTTCACAGCCCAGTCATTATACAAAGATGCCTCAGAGCCCCCTTGCAAACATGGAGTGGCACCTTTGGGGACATCCAATGAGGAAAGTCTTGTCCTATTTTTGGAAGATCTGCCTAGCTTAACAATTTTGTTAGAAGAAAATTCAACAGCAATATATGTAGATAAACGTTTTGTTTTGACTTTTGGCCCCTGTCATGATTGGTGCTTCGCAGCACACGGCCTCATATCTTATTCTCGGTGTTCCCAATTCTCAGTCGCTTCTCTCCAAATTGTTAAGTGCATGGGGTTGGTCCTTGTTTTGTGTGTTTCTATCAGCCCCTCCTCTACCTGGCTGCCTCCCACCCACTGGCATGTCACTGGTGTTCAAAAGTAGTTGTTTGCATGGCAGATTTAAAAATGTCAATATGAAAGTCAAAGTGATTGAGGTTTTAGGAAGGAAAAATCATTCTTCATCATGACAAGTCCAAAAGACTACTTTAACGGTACCATTAATATATTCAATGATTTAAAGGGTACAGAGGCAAAAGGCAAAATACCTTTCATTAAGCTCAGAGAGAATGACTAATTTTCGTAAGAGAGATGTTTGTGGAAATTAAATGTACTGACTCTAGATAAGAGGTATCTGGGTATGATAAGGAACGCAGTTAATCTTACAGCAGTTAATAAACATAATTTGCTTCTGTTATTACAAACCTTGACAACTGATTCTAATTTAGAATTGTATATTTGTTAAATTTTTAAAAATATGACTTAAGTGCTTAAAAATTGAAGCACAATTAAAGAATCATAACTTTTTTATAAATGAACCTTTATTAGTTTTGTGAATTTTTTCATTATAAATATATATATACAATTTCAAAAGAGAATAAGAAATGTTTATAATAAATTATTTTAAATCACTGCTGGGAATGGTGGCTCACACGTGCAATCCCAGCACTTTGGGAGGCCAAAGTGGGTGGATCACCTGAGGTCAGGAATTCAAGGCCAGTGTGGCCAACATAGTGAAACCCCATCTCTACTAAAAATACAAAAGCTTAGCAAGGTGTGGTGGCAGGCACTTGTAATCCCAGCTATTCGGGAGGCTGAGGCAGGAGAATCGCTTGAACCTGAGAGATGGAGGTTGCAGTGAGCTACGATCATACCATTGCACTCCAGCCTGGGTAACAAGAGGGAAACTCCATCTCATAAATATATGCATATTTATTTAAATCACAATATGTTATTATCTTTACAATTATTTAGTTTGTGTTTGTGTTTCCCTACTTAGGAAGTTAATTACTTTATATTAATATTAACATTCATTTTCACCTCGATCTACTATCAGTCCAGTGTTTGCACCTGTCAATGAAGTGACCACATAAAGACCAGCGTGTGTATCCAGAGAAAGTGGAATGCCGGCAGCTGGCAAAACAAAATGGCAGTTTAATGTGGACAGAGCCAGGATTCAATAGACCACGTTGCAGCAAAGTTGAAAGTTCAACTCGAACTGGAGAGCAAACACTCTAGTCTACGTGTGATGCTTTTTTGTCCCTTTTTTTAAATGAAAAGAAACGTTATCTTCATCATCATAATAGTGTTGTCTTTTGGAAAGGTTGAATAATTATTTGCTTTACAGAAGATAGACGTTAGCACAGACTTATCTCTAGGTATTACATACTTGATCATTATATGAGAGCTGGGAAAAGGGAGCCTTAAAAATTGAAACTAATTTTTACTGTACATAAATTTAAACACAGAGGCTTTTAAAATAAACATTCAATTACTGATGTGACTTTGGATGTAGTGAAATAAATATATTAATATCTTTCTACATGAAAACTTATTTTGTTCTACTGATTTGTTTTCCTAATTTTCTGGGGATTAATTTTTTTAATTTGGGTTAATTTTTTTTTTTTTTTTGCAAAATGACAAATGCTCTCCCCAACCCTGGGCCTGGGGATCTTACCCCAGTGATTTCCTTAGACTACTGTTAATGAAATGGCAGTGAACTCACTCTGTACCCCTTGTATCCTGGACAAAGAGGTGGTTCAAGTAGATTGTGCCCTTTGAGGACAAATAGGTGGAGGGATTCCAAAAAGTGTCCGTTTCATGTCACTTTGGTGACCCCAACTTTGTTGATGCCAAGGAAGACTAATGGTGACTAAGGCTTTTTGTTGCTTTTGTTAAATTGGTGGTATTGTTTCTTTGGCTTTCTTTTTGGCTAGTTTACTGTCACGTGGGTCTTGATAAGGGAGACTCACTGTGCTTGTAGTGGTGGGTGATAGTTTCTTCTAAGAAGTGTGAGGTACTGTGTAGACAACTAAGGGAAGGGTCATTGGGTAATTACAGGACCATCAAAGGACTCTCCAGGCTTTTGGGTCCTGATGGAGTAGGAGTTAGAGTTTAGAGACCTAATGTAAGAAAAATGGACTAAGGCAGTCCTGAGGGTTCTTCTATCAAGTAAATCAGAATGGCAGGTCAATCAATTCCATTACTGGGTATATACCCGAAAGAATATAAATAATTCTATTATAAAGATGCATGCACACAAATGTTCATTGCAGCACTATTCACAATAGCAAAGACATGAAATCAACCCAAATACCAATTAATGATAGACTGGATAAAGAAATGTGGTACATATACACCATGGAATACTATGCAGCCATAGAAAGGAATGAGATCATGTCCTTTGCAGGGACATGGATGGAACTGGAAGCTGCCATCCTCGGCTAACTAATGCAGGAAGAGAAAACCAAACACCACATGTTCTCACTTTTAAGTGGGAGCTGAATGATGAGAATACATGGACCATGGGAGGGAACAACACACAACTAGGGCCTTTGTGGGGAGGCATGGGAGGAGGCAGAGCATCAGAAAGAATAGCTAATGGATGCTGAGCTTAATACCAAGGTTATGGATTGATCTGTGCAGCAAACGGCCATGGCACACGTTTACCTACATATCAAGCTTGCACATCCTGCACATGTACCCTAGAACTTAAGATAAAAGTTGAAGAAAAAAACAAAAGAATGGCAGGTCAACCATGTCTCGGGTGTGGGCTTCCATCCCTGACCACCTGCTTTTCTCTGTTAGTTCCATGAATGGCCTTATCCAGATATTTAGCTTCAACCTATGTACTGCTGAATCCCAAATTATATCTCTAGGATCAACCCATCTCTCAAATTCCAGGTCCTGTCTCAGTTGCTGTATTAGTCTGTTTTAACACTGCTGATAGACATTCCCAAGACTGGGAAGAAGAGGTTTAATGGACACATGGCTGGGGAGGCCTCACAATCATGGCAGAAGGCAAGGAGGAACAAGTCACATCTTACATGGTGGCAGCAGGCAAAAGAGAGCTTGTGCAGATGAACTCTGGTTTTTAAAATCATCAGATCTTGTGAGACCCATTCACTATCATGAGAACAGCACAGGAAAGACACAGCCCCATGATTCAAACATCTCTCTCCAGCTCCCTCCCACAACACATGGGAATTATGGGAGCTGCAAGATGAGATTTGGGTGGGGACACAGAGCCAAACCATATCAGCTGCCTATTATGTGTCTTCATTCGAGCAGGCCGTGGGTACCTAAGACTCAAAGTATTTTGGTAAATCTGAATTTATCAAAACAAACAAACAAAACAAAAAAAGATTAGCACACAAAATTGTTCCTATTCTTATCATTTGTTTTTGGTGAATAGGGTCATTCTCCATCTAGTTGCCCAAAGAAGAAATTCCAGGCAGCTCTGTCCTCATTCAAAAAGCCCCCTAAATTTTACTTCTTTTGTAATTTCTCTCAAATCTGCCTTCTCTACTTCAATTTTATTTTCTATTGTGTCTCCAGTGCTTAAACAATTTGTGGCATGTACTAAGCATTTAGCAAATATTTACAGCGTGAAAGAACAAAGAGAACAGAAAAGCACTTGGCCCTGCATGAAACAGTTAATTCAAGGAACAGACAAAAATTTAAAGTATGTTATTTCAATAAAAAGTATTTTGGGAGACATTCAAGAGAAACTTTTTTCCATTAAGCAAGGACAGGCAGCTATGAAAAAGGAACTGTCTAAGAAAAGAACAATTTACTGAAAGGAACAAATAAAACTTTGAAAAAATGCAATAGGCAGGCTGAATAATAAAACTGACACAGCTTAAGACTTAATTAATAATCTGGAAGATGAAGTGAAGAAAATTTCCTGGAACGTAGTGCAAAATGGCAGACAGAAATAACAAAAAAAGTTAAAATATGGAGGAGAGATTCTAGAGATCTAATACCTTTCTAATAGGATTTTTTTAATATGTATATTTTATTGCGTTTTAGGTTTGGGGTACATATGAGGAACATGTAGGATTGTTGCATAGGTACATACATGGCAATGTGGTTTGCTGCCTCCATCCCCATCACCTATATCTGGCATTTCTCCCCATGTTATCCATCCCCAACTCCCTACCCTCCACTGTCCCTTCCTAGTCCTCCCCCACAGACCTCAGGGTGTGATGCTCCCCTCCTTGTGTCCATGTGTTCTCATTGTTCAACACCCGCCTATGAGTGAGAACATGCGATGTTTCATTTTCTGTTCTTGTGTCAGTTTGCTAAGAATGATGGTTTTCAGGTTCATCCATGTCCCTTACACAAGGACTTCATGTCTAATAGGATTTTTTTGAAAGCAAAATAGATACAATGGAAGTGAGACTATAATAAAATGTGTTTTTTTAAAAATGGTAGTATTAATAGGAGAATTGTTTTCAATGGGCTGACCCTGTCCAGTTGCAAATGCTATGTATAAACACTGAATTATCTAAATCATATAAGACAGTGAAGACTGCCAGAGGACTATGGTTGGCATATTGTAAGTCTCAGTTCCCTTTCTCAAAGCTGCAGGAAAGCCACATTGTTATGCATTAATTTGGAAATATGTATTTACCTTGTTTTATTTTCTTGCCAGTTAAGCTATGCAGCACCTGTTGGGACACATGCAGAAGAAAAGAAGGTGAAGATATTAGGATCTAAGGTACAATAATGACTAATATGGCCATTATTACTAACCTAGTTCTTGTTTATATTGATGCTGGCTATGCTTAGAAAGTAGCATTGACTTTGGAAGCTACACTGAGAAGTAGCCTTATTAAGAGAAAAAGGACCTGATTGCCTCTTTAATATGATTCTGTAGCACATCTCTGCCACATCCAGGGAAGTCTTCCTCATTCATGATATGCCTACAGTTCAACTATTAGAGATTCATTCCTTTTGTTGAAACTTTTTCCTCTTGCAAAATATACATATTATTGATAAATGGCATAAAGCTCTAATGTGATTGAGTTTGTAAGATCCTTTCTTGAGAACTGTTTTGATAGAAGAAGGACATGATAACTGGAGGAAGCTGCTGCCTATGACAAAGAGATGGAGAGGCCACAGTAAGTGAAGGAAAATGCAATTTGCAGTTTATAAAATGAGGCAGCTTGTGGGGCTGATGAAGATAGGTTTTGATTGCTTTGTAACATGGTTTAGAGCTAATTGCTTTTATGTTCACCATTTATAGGAAATAGAGGCATGGGATCTTAAACCATTCCTATATATGGTAATTTACAAGTAAATAAAACTCATTGTTCCCTAGAAAAAAGAAATTTTTTTTTTTTGAGACAGGGTCTCATTCTGTCATCCAGGCTGGAGAGCAGTGATGTGGTCACAGCTCACTACAGCTTTGACCTCCTGGGTTCACACAATTTTCCCTCCTCAGCCTCCCAAGTAGCTGGGACTACAGGCACACACCACAATGCCCTGCTAATTTTTAATTTATCGTAGAGACAGTGTCTCACTGTATTGCTCAGACTGATCTCAAACTCCTGGGCTCCAGCCACCGTCTTACCTTGGCTTTCCAAAGTGTTAAGATTACAGGTGTAAGCCACTGTGCCTAGGCTAGGCTTAAATTATTTTTGATAGTAGTTAGAATATGCATAGTATTTATAGAAATTGTCTTTTCAGATTTATGGAGAAAAAAAGATACATTGTGTAATTAATTTGTGATATATTTTCTATTGAAAGGTTGAAGACAAACATGCTTTGGAGTCTCAAATAGAAGCATTAAAGGCTAATTTAGAGGTTGAGAAACAGAAGGTGGAAAGGTACTGGTAATAACAAGACATAGTGTTCATTTGTAACTAATATAATATTTAACCATCTGTAAATTTATTATAGGATTAGGAAGGAAGCCGATCGACTAAACAAAAACTGGGAAAAGAGATTCTCTATTCTCAGGAACAGGTATGGTGAGATATATACAAATTCTATTTCTCAAAATGTGACTAATCATCCTTTATGAAGTTGGCAACCTTGTGATTTTTTTACATATTAATGTTAAATCACCTCGTATACATCTATAAGAAATGCAAAATGATTGGTCTAAAATAGAAAAGCAATCAAAATCACTGAGAAGTAAAATGTTTTTATTTCTTCTCTGTTTCTGTTATAAAAGATCAGCAGGACAAACAGACTTTGTTAATACCTGGTTTCATCAGGCCTATCTAGCCATCTTCTTTCCTAGGGCTATTAAAACCTTTTCCTGCTCATTTGCACACAATGATATATAACTAGTTTGTATTGTCTTTATATATATACTTGATATATAGAGTTTGGTATATAAAGTTGCTTTATATATCAGATTCTCTACCAGACACAACAGCTCCAATTCCTCAACCTCTCAAATCTATTTCTCACTCATATAATCATTTTGTTTCTCTCCCCCTTTGCCTTTTTCTTTTCCTTTTTTCTTTCTTTTTCTTTGTTGAGATGGAGTCCTGCTCTGTCATGTAGGCTGGAGTGCACTAATGTGATCTTGGCTCACTGCAACCTCCAACTCCCGGGCTCAAGTGATTCTCTTTCCGCAGCCTCCCGAGTAGCTGGGATTACAGGTGACCACCACAACACCTGGCTAAATTTTTTCTATTTTTAGTAGAGCCGGAGTTCCTCCATGTTGGCCAGGCTGGTCTCAAACTCCTGACCTCAGGTGATCCGCCCGCCTTGGCCTCCCAAAATGCTGGGATTACAGGCGTGAGCCATCGTGCCTGGCTTCTCTTTACCTTTTTCAAAATGGAGAAAGTGAAATTGTAAAATTCTGAAAAGGACAAAAATGACATAAATTGAAAAAAATGCTTATTTTTTTCCCTTACTCTAACATATTAACATTAAAAATCTATCTTCTGTTTAGTTGTGTTCTGCCATAATTTCCCCCAGATTCTCTTCCTTAACACATGAGAGAAGTGCTTTTGCAATATTCCTTCACAGTCAAGCATCACCCAGGCACATGGGGTTCAGTGTTGCTCTGTTGGAGGCCAGTGGAGGTCAAACTTGAAGCTTATACATAGATCATGGGATGGCAATGCCCTACGTTTGCGCTGTATTTTATAAGCACACACTAGGGATCTTGTGTACATAAACTTCTATACCTGGCTATGTGTATTACATGGAAATAATTAATCCTAAGTGGGGAGGCACAAGAATCCACACCAAGACAGAAAAAATCACAGGATTGAGAGTAAAAAGGCATTGTGGTAAAATGTTCTGCTTTATTTTGTTTTGCGCTGAAATGATCCCCTACCCATGTTTTCTGTATGTGCTGATAAGCATTTTGTGCTGCGTAAAACATGCGTAGTAACACCCACCCTAACTGCGTCACATGGTTATTTAAGAACAGAATGTAGATACATGTGAAACAAACCAAATTTAAATAGGCCCTTGACTTCATTTCCCTGCCCATAGGTTTTGGATTCTCTCTAGAACTGAATAAAATGACTTTCCCTTACTTATTTCCATAGGGTTCACTTTCATCCTGAAGATTTACCTTGTCTCTGACCCAACAGGATTTACCCTATTCTTCAATGATGATTTACAAGAATTTATCAGTTTTACTACTACTACTACTACTACTTCCTCTCCTTCTTCTTCTTCTTCCTCTCCTCCTCCTTCTCCTCTTCCTTTTCTCCTTCTTCTCCTCCTCCTTCTTCTTCCTCCTCCTCCTCCTCCTCTTCCTCTTCCTCTTCCTCTTCCTCTTCTTCTTCTTCTTCTTCTTCTTCTTCTTCTTTCTTCTCTTTCTTCTATCTTCTTCTTCTTCTTCTTTTCTTCTTCTTTTTTTCTTTCAGACAAGAGTTTTTACTCTTGTTGCCCAGGCTGGAGTGCAGTGGCACGATCTCAGCTCACTGCAACCTCTACCTCCTGGGTTCAAGCGATTCTCCAGCCTCAGCCTCCCAAGTAGCTGGGATTATAGGTGCCCACCACCATGCCTGCCTAATTTGTTTGTATTTTTAGTAGAGATGGAGTTACACGTTTTACTTCTAATTCATTTGCTGTTACCCAAGATGTTGACAATCATATTAATCATTTTGGTCTCTGCAGTCTTTATGTTGATATCTAAATATTTAGGAAAGCAGAAGTATTTATTACTACACACTTTCTATGTTTTTCATTTAATCAACTAATTGGGGCATTGTAGATTATGTCTCTCTACCTAGGCTGCAGCTCCAGGTATTAATTCAATGTGGCATATACGGCACTGTAGAGAGTGCATTTGTACAGTCTGCATCATGGTGTGGTATGGAGATTAATTGTGAAGTCACAGACTTACATGGGCTAACATGGTCATTTCATTTCACTGTAACTGATCCTAGATTAGGAGTGTTCATTTGTGTTTAGTAGAGAAAAAAACCTCACCTTAGCTAGTCAAGGTCAGAGTCCAGTCCAATAACTTCTGTCAATTCATGATTTATATTGGGTCCCAGTCCAATTCAGGGCTTCATTTCCAAGCTTCTTTTCCATCTCTGCTGAGTTCTTATTTCCAGGAAGATTGAATGTGAGCAGTGCTGACAAGGGTGGGGCTGGTCCTTCCTCTTGGTGTGCCAAGCCTGGTCATCATTGTCACACAAACAGTATGCAGGTGTGGCACATCAGTTTCAGAACATATCCTTACCTGGCGGATGCCATGGTGATGCCGCTGTTTCCACTTCCACCCCAGGCGGCAGTCTACATGCATCCACCTGAGCCACCTCTGTTCTGCCTGATGGGCTGTGGGCCAGGCAGACTCACTTTTGCACACTGTGCTTCCCAAGCACATAGAAATGTTACAGGTGGTACCCATGCCATTCTGGCTTGCATATCTGGAAGAGATCCACGCACACATCCCTTCTCCTGCTCTCCCGTCCTCTCCCCTACATTCAGAGCACCAGATTGCCATCCCAGAGAGCCTGCTAACATCAGAAATCTAGATAGGGCATGCAAGGTGAAGGCCCACTCTGCTCATGTAGTCCCCTCACCTTGGAATCCACTGTAAACAGAAACTCTACAGGGCACCTTACTCGACAAAGTGAACACCTGTGTCCTCACTACACAGGTAAAGAAAGAAGGAATTCACAGTGGCTTCATGGTCCCTGTTGCCCATCCAGTGCCTGTCCCTTCTCCTTCTCCCAATTAGCAAATATTCGGAATTGAATGCTTATCATTCCCTTGGAGAAAGTTTTCAGTGACATTCAATTTGTCATAAAAATTGGGCTATTCCAATTTTCAATTTCTTCTAATCATTTTGATAATTTATGTTGTCTTATATATTTAGGAATTTTCTCATTTCATTGAATTGTCAAATTTATTGATATAAAGTTATTCATGATATCCTCATATTATATATATATGTGGCAGTCGTGTCACTTGATGACAGGGGTAGATTCTGAGAAATATGTAGTAGGTGATTTTGTCATTGTGTGAGCATCTTAGAGGGTGCTTACAAGCCTAGATGTCATAGTCTACCACACACCTAGGCTCTACAGTATAGCCAATTGCTCCCAGGCTGCAAACCTGAACAGCATGGGACTATAAGGGAATACTGCAAGCAATTGTAACACAATGGTAAGTATTTATGCATCTAAATATACCTAAACATAGAAAAGATACAGTGAAAATACTGTATAAAAGGTAAAGAATGGTCCACGTGTATAAGGCACTTACCATGAACGGAGCATGCAGGAGTGAAGTTGTTCTGGGTGAGCCAGTGGGTGAGTGGTGAGTAAATGTGAAGGCCTGGAAAATTACCATACACTACTGTAGATTTTGTAAGCACTGGACACCACGGCTATATACGATTTACAAACAAAATTGTTTTTTAGTAACAAATTAACCTTAGCTTACTGTAACTTTTTTACTTTACAAACTTGCTAATTTTTAAAACTTTCTTGTAATAACACAGCTTTAAACACAAACATACAGTACAGCTATACAAGGTTATTTTTTCACATGGAGGTGCACACCTGTGGTCCCAGCTACTTGGCAGGCTGAGAGGTGGGAGGATCACTTGAGCCCAGGAGGTCGAGGCTGCAGTGAGTTGTGATCACGCCTTGCACTCCAGCTGGGTGACAGAGTGAGACCCTATCTCAAATATACATATATAATTTTTTTCTTTATATTCTTATTCTATAAGCTTTTGTCTGTTTAATTTTTTTTGTTTGTTTTTTACTTTTTAAACTTTTTTGTTAAAAACTAAGATACAAACACACACATTAGCCTAGGCCTACACAGGGTCAAGACTGTCAAGATGTTACTAGTCAGTGAGAACTTTTCAGCTCCATTATAATCTTAGGGGACCGCCATTGTATATGCAGTCCATCTTTGACTAACCATCATTATGCAGGGCATGACAGTATCTGTAAGATCTGGTGATGTACCTTTTTCATTTCTGATATTTGTGTTTCATTCCTGAGAATTTGTGTTTTTCTCCTTTTTTCTTAATCTCTTGGGAGTTACTAATTTTATGTTATTTATTTCAAAGAAACTCTCTTTGCTGAACTTTTCTCATATGTCTTTTCATTGACTTTTTTACATATTAATTTAGAAACCTTTTTTCTTTCTAACTTTTATTCTAGGTCAGGGGTTATGTGTGCAGGTTTGTTACATGGCTAACTTGCATGTCATGGGGGTTTAGTGTACATAATTTTGTCACCCAGATAATCAGCATAGTTTTTCAATACTCACCCTCCACCAAACCTTCACCCTCAAGTAGGCCCTGGCGTGTGTTATTCCCATCTCTGTGTCTATGTGTACTCAGTGTTTTGCTCCCACTTATAAGTAAGAACATGTGGTATTTGGTTTTCTGTTCCCATGTTATTTTGCTTAGAATAATGGCCTCCAACTCCATCCACATTGTTACAAAGAAAAACGATTTCATTCATTTTATTACTGTGTAGTATTCCATGGCGTATATGTACCACATTTTTTTTTATCCAGTTCACCATTAATGGGCATCTAGGTTGATTTCATGTCTTTGCTATTGAGAATAATGCTGCAATGAACATACATGTGCATGTGTCCATGTGGCAGAACAATTTATACTCCTTTGGGTATATACCCAGCAGTGGGGTTGCTGGGTCAAATAGTAGTTATATTTAAAGTTCTTTAGGAAATCTCAAACTGATTTCCACAGTGGCTGATTTGCATTCCCATCAGCGGTTTCTCTACATCCTCACCAGCACTTGTTATCTTTTGTCTTTTTGATAATAGCCATTCTAACAGGAGTGAGGTGGTGTCTTATTGTGGTTTTGATTTGCAGTTGCCTGATGATGAGTGATAATGAGCAATTTTTCATATGCTTGGCCATTTGTATGTCTTCTTTGGAGAAATGTCTATTCAGTTCCTTTGTCCACTTTAAAATCGGGTTGTTTTCATGCTATTAAGCTGAGTTTCTTGTATATTTTGAGTATTAACCCTTTATCAGATGTATGGCTTGCAAATATTTTCTTCCATTCCTTAAGTTGTCTTTTCATTTTGTTGTTTTCTTTGCTGTGAGGAAGCTCTATGGTTTGAAATAATCTATTTATTCATTTTTGTTTTTGTTGCTTATGCATCTGGTATCATATTCAAAAAATCATTGCCAAAGGCCAATGTGAAAAAGCTTTTTCTCCTATGTTTTTTTCTACGAGTTTTATGATTTCAGGTCTTATGTTTAGGCCTTTCATTCATTTTGAATTAATTTTTGTGCGTTGTCTAATATAGGTGTTTAATTTCATTCTTTTGCATGTAAATATCCTGTTTCTTCGGCAGCATTTATTGAAGAGACTAACCTTTCCCCAATTGTATATTCTTGTCACTCTTGTCAAAAATTAGTTGGCCATATATGCATGAGTACTTTAAATTTTTTCACTTGGACTTTGGTTGTCATTGGTTTTCTTATGATGTCCCTAGGTGTAGTTCCTTTTATTTATCTGGTCTAGCTCTTGCATCTATGGGTCAATGTCATTTCTGAATTTTGGAAAAGTCTTAGCTGTTATCTTTCCATGTATTATTTCTGCTTCCTGCTTGCCTACTCTGATCCTCCTGCTTCCTTATTAAAAAAAAACAACAACCCTGAGATTACATTGGACCTACCAAATAATCTAGAATAATTACTGTATCTCAAAATCTGTAACTTACCACATCTGCAAAGTTCCTTTTACTATGTTAGGTAGCATACTCCGAATTTCCAGGACTTAGGAAGTAGATATTTTCATGGGGGACAATGTTCATTCTACTACAGTCAACCTTCTGGCCCCCAATCAATCATGGCTATCCTGCCTGCAAAATGCATTTACCACATCCCAATATTGCCTGAAGTCTCAACCCATTAGAGCATCAACTCCATTCTAAAATCTCACCTAAGAGTTATCAGTCTCAAAATTCCCAGTTTGCATTATCTAAATTAGGCTCTGGTTATAATTCATCCTGGGACAAAATTTGTCTCCATATGTAGACTTGTGAAGCTATATATTATTTGCTCTCAGATACAATAATGGGAAAGGCATTTGTATTGCCATGAATGTCAATAATAGCTATAAACATTCTTGTTTAAAAGGGGAGAAAGTAGAAGGGGAAAAGAGTCACTTGTCCAAACAATGTTGACATTTCAGCATAACTCATTAGGTTTCAAGGCCTGGGCTAATTCTCTGTGACTCAAGGTTCCGCATTCTAGGCCCAAAGCACTACTACTGAGTCATACTTCCCCTTTCATGAAAGGTAACACATGTTTGACACTGAGTAGTTTTATCAGCCTGTTTCTTGCCTGTAGAATTTTGGAAATTCAATAACCTTCTTTCATTTATTTCCTTTTGCTGTCCTTTTTAGTTCAATCTGGCAGTGTTGTTGCTGATATAACATTCTCAAAACCTTGTGGGTCTCCCATGTTTCTCATGGAAAATCACTTTCATTAGACAGGAGGCTCCTTTTCAGTTCTTTCCTAAATAATTCCATCTCTATTTTCGACTCCTACTGAAATGGCTGAGGGAGTGTCACACATCTAATCTCTTCAAAGAGCTTTTGTGTGAGTAAATAGTGTGGTTTTTGTTCCTTCCTAGACTCTACCTAAAGGTTGTCCAGCCATTCTCTTGCTTTCTCTACAGAGTGCATCTTCTTGACAGCAAATCTCCTAATTTTAGCATCATTTGCAATCAAAGATAGGCTAAGAATTTCCCAAATAGCTAATATATATGTGGCGTTTCAACACACGGAAGTTCTTGTCTTTGATACGTAATTTCTCCAATCTTATTATCTTTGATATGTGATTTCTCCAATCATAAGTCAACAGGAGCTCTTTCAAGTTGATTACTGTGTTCTTCTGACATAATCTTTGATGACTTTGTTGAATTCTGGTAGAATAAAATGTCCCAGGTTCATTCTGTGCATTTATTGCCTTAGATTTAGAAACAGTCATTTCTCAAAGATGCTCTGAATTATTTAATGAGAAATGCTTTTTGAAATCACAGTCTGGGGACTAAGGTGATCATTGCCATTATTTCTGTGCTTTTCCGAGCTGGAAAACATGTTTTTTGTTTTCTTTTTGTTTTTTGGGGAGACAGGGTCTTACTCTGTCATCCAGGCTGGAGTGTAGTGGTGTGATCATGGCTTACTGCAGCCTTGACTTCCCAGGCTCAGGTGAACCTCCTACCTCAGCCTCCTAAGTTGCTGGGACTACAGGCATATACCACCATGCCGTGTTATTTTTTTTGTTTGTTTGCACAGATGAGGTTTCACCATGTTGCCAAGGCAACATGTAGTTTTAAAAATGGAAGAGATAGTATGTTCATACTAATATTTTCAAATTTTTATTTGATAATATTTTAAATTTTTAATGTAGTTTGCTATGTTAACATAATGCTTACATGCTTTATCCTATGATTTCCATACATTTAACTTTCATCGATTTTTTTAAATTTTAGCTTTCATGTCCTTAAGGATGAGATGTTTACAAGACACACACTGTTTCGTCAGTTTGCAGTGCTTGCTGACACATCCTTCAATTATATTGTAAGTGCATGTAATGTTTAGATGCTATTTGTCTTTTTGAATATATCTGTCTGTTTTTTTCTGTTCTCATTTAAGGTTTATGGAGCCCCTGTCATTAAAGGCTCTAAAGATAGTACATGGCTGTCACTGCTAGATGCTGAGGGTGTAAGGCAAAGTGCCTGAACCCAAAGAGCTCAGTCCAGTGTGAGAGGTAAATGTATAAACAAATTGCTACAGCACAATATGGTTGAGCTATACTATGGACAATTTCGGAGAAACGCAAATCAAAACCACATTGAGATACCACCTCACACCACTTAGAATGGCGATCATTAAAAAAATCTGGAGACAACGGATGCTGGAGAGGATGTGGAGAAATAGGAACACATTTACACTGTTGGTGGGAGTGTAAATTAGTTCAACCATTGTGGAAGACAGTGTGGCAATTCCTCAAGGATAGAAATACCATTTGACCCAGCAATCCCATTAATGGGTATATACCCAAAGGATTATAAATCATTCTGTTGTAAAGACACATGCACACATATGTTTATTGCAGCACTGTTTACAATAGCAAAGACGTGGAACCAACCCAAATGCCCATCAATGATAGACTGGAAAAAGAAAATGTGTGGCACATATACACCATGGAATACTATGCAGCCATAAAAAATGATGAATTCATGTCCTTTGCAGGGGCATGGTTGAAGCTGGAAACCATCATTCTCAGCAAAATGACAAAAGAACAGAAAACCAAACACCGCATGTTCTCACTCATAAGTGGATGTTGAACAATGAGAACACATGGACACAGAGAGGGGAACATCACACACTGGGGTCTGTTGGGGGTGGAGGGATTAGGGTAGGGATAGCAGGGGGTGGGGGGATTAGGGAGGGATAACATTAGGAGAAATACCTAATGTAGGTGATGGGGGGATGGATGCAGCAAACCACCATGGCATGTGTATACCTATACAACGAAACTGCATGACCTGCATATGCACCCCAGAACTTAAAGCATAATGATAATGAAGTCTGGTTCTACTATCTTTTATCTGTGCTAGCAACTACTCAAGATGTACAGGTATTGATCGACTTATGACCTAAGCAACTTACGACCATTCGACTTTATGACCATAATCGCTAGCCACGACTGCTCCGCGTCTGGCAGCATAAACGTTGCCCAGCTGGGCGTACGACAGTGCAGACCAGCTTCCGGCAGCACTACTACCTCCGCGTGCATACAGCCTACCCAACTTACGACCAAATCATGTTACGACCGGTCTGTCGGAACCAGTCGTGGCCGTAAGTCGAGCACTAGCTGTATATACAGATTTTTGACAATGAGCGGCTCACTTTCCTTGGAGCTTTATTTATAAAAGTTCTCTGAGGACTCGGCTAAACAGGAATTTTTCCATAAAAGGTTTAAATGTGCTTCTTTCAGTTGCCATGAGCACCATTATTCTGGACTTAATTAAATTGATTTTTTTAGCATCTGGCTTTTCAGACCACCTTGTGAATTCAGCCGGCAAATGGCATGGGCTAGTAATGGTTAGGAATTCACAGGAGGTTTTTTGAAAAATGTTATTCAACTAGTGGTCAAACTTAGAAACAGGCATTTTCCTCAAACTGCTTGGGGAAGCCTCACTTGAGGTAGTATTTGACCTTTACTGTGGTTATAGCTTTTCAGTCCCAGACTTACAGTGGGGTGGAACTGTCTTATTAAATTCCACACCTTAGGTGGGCCCTGAGTTTTGTCCTCTGCTCCCACACCATAGGAACCTTTGACAACTCATGCATACATTCCAGAAGTTTGGCAGATGCCCTCAAAGTGAATGAGAGCTCCAGAGTGGAAGTCCTGGGTTTCTATCTTCTCTTAGTCTTGAACCTGAGTATCCCTGCTTGCTTACTTGAGTTGTTTGTTTTCGTTTTTGAGACAAGGTCTTGCTCTTTCACCCAGGCTAGAATGCAGTGGCATACTCAATGGTCACTGCAGCCTCAACTTCCTGGGCTCAAGTCATTCTTCCACCTCAGCCCCTGCAGCCCCCCAAGTAGCTGAGACTATAGGCATGTGCTATTACACCTGGCTAATTTTTGTAGTTTTTGTAGAGATGGGGTTTTGCCATGTTGCCCAGGCTGGTCTCAAACTCCTGGGCTCAAGCGACCCTTCCACCTTGACCTCCCAAAATGCTGGGATTAGAGGTGTGAGCCACTGTGCCTGGCCCCTGCCTTTTCATCAGCTTACAGCAACATTGAAGGATATAAGAAATGAAGGCAGGGCACGGTGGCTCACGCCCGTAATCCCAGCACTTTGGGAGGTCAAAGGGGACAGATCACAAGGTCAGGAGTTCAAGACCAGCCTGGCCAATATAGTGAAACTCTGTCTCTACTAAAAATACAAAAAATTAGCTGGACATGGTGGCAGGCATCTGTAATTCCAGCTACTCAGGAGGCTGAGGCAGGAGAATCGCTTGAACCTGGGAGGCGGAGGTTGCAGTGAGCCGAGATTGTGCCATTGCACTCCAGCC